GGATTCTGTGACATCATAAGGAGATGAATAGGCACTAGTCTGTCCCCTACCCTCCATTCCTGGTCTTTGTGTGTGTAGCACAAATATCTGAAAGCAGCAGAGGGGTCATTTAAAGCCCTACTGTGTTCAGCAGGTCAAAGGAACATAGTTCTCCTAGTGGAGCCACTGCTACAAATGAGAGAGGAGACTGGATTTCTCCAGTTTCTTGAGATCACCGGTGATGACTGGTGATCCTGCTGGTTCACAGTTGCACTTAACCTTTTAAAAATTGTTTAAGAGGATGTCCACTGAACAGCCAGGGTTGCCATCTGTCCTCTATTTCCAGGACAAGCCCTCTTTTTCATGAGTATGTAAAATGAGAGTCATCACAGTGATCCATAGTTAAAAGTAGAAGTCGGCAAGTGCATCCTCTTTTTTGCTCTTCAAAATATGGCAGCCACCTTTAAATGATAAGTAAGGAATTCTGGCTCTGGCTGCACTCCCAGTGACATAAGCAGGAATGTGACAATGGCTGCATACAGATTTAAATGACACAGTCCTCTTAGAATCCTGGGAAATGTAGTTAACCATTCACAGAGTCAGCACCCTTAACAAACTACAGTTCTCAGCATTCTTTGGTGCTTTAAATGTATGTTGTGTATGCAGCCCAAGCAGGGACAGTCCAAGGCAAGCCTGAGCCAATCCAGAAAATGCTTCCCCCGCTCTCTCCCCCAGAAATGCAATTTGTTAAAGGTGCTGGGTTATAGCATGGGTAGAGAATATCAGGCTAAGGGACCACATGCAGTGCCCCCTGAAGCCTCTTTCTGTCAGGGCTCGAACCACCCCTCTCCAGTTGTGCTTCGTACCCTCCTATTTGGATGGAGATAAAGTACTGTTGTGGTGGGAGAGGGCTCATCTCACCCCTCCCTAAACCCCACACCTTCCTTTTCCATTCTGCCATCTGACCTCAATATTGCCTTTGCACCTCATGGCAGTGTCAAACTGTTATTTTTTTAAAAAAGGGGGTCTAAAGAGTCATTTAGGGTCCCCCTGGCAGCTACCCAAAAATACCAGGTGCTGTATCTCTGGCTGTTGGGTGTTGCTATACAAAGGAATATTGTTGAACAACTGCCATGATCTGTTTAGGCTGCAAATCCAGTAATGCCACAGGATGATTCGCAGCATTATTGAAGGTAATTGGTTTGAACAGACACCAGGACTTTGGTAATTTAATCAGGGCTATAACAATCATGACCTCCACAGATACCGCCTGATATCAAAACGGGATTCTGCATCTTGATATATTATTGTCCCCGCTGCTCTTTCCCTTGATCATGTTCCCTTGGAAAGTCATCTGAAATCTAATCTGATTTCTTTCTTCTTTGACAGCAGCCGCAGAATATTATTTTCACTTCTCAGGAATCCACAGTGCTTTGGTTCCTCTGTCTTTTCGCCAGTCTACACTGTATTTCATTGCTGCGGAGGAGATTAAGTTCTCATTGGTATTCAGAAGTGTGAATGCATGGATTCCTTTTGTTGTGCTGGTGGTGTCAGGATTAAATCCTTTAAAATGTGAGCCTATTGAGATAAGAGCTTGGAATTGACCCTCCCCCGCTTTAAGCTTGACTCCCCAAGAAAAGGCCTGAGCAAAGTGATGGCAATGAAGCCCAGATTTTGCTTCATACTTGATGGTCAAGGACACACTCCATGTATTATTGTAAAGCAGAAACAGATCCATTCCATTATGCACTACAGCTTTCTGTGCAGGGGGAAACTATTATTGTTGTGATGCAGATGCTGATGATAAGGATTATTAGGTTGTATTCACTGCAGCCTTTCAGCTTGTGCAACACCCACTCATTTGTGCAACAGAACTCCCACCTCCTCTGCCCTTTAGCCCTTTCCACACAAACACTCCTCAAAATCTGCCCAAGAGGACTGGGAGCAAATTTTGAAGGTTCAGAGGAGAGGAAGGGGAAGTCCCTTTAAGTGGCAAGTGGAACTCTGCACATGCTAGGGTTGCCATTTCTTGAAGAGCAAAAAAAGAGGCTAGCCGACGCCACTGCCAGCCTGAGCCAGTGAAAGAGACACACAGGCTGGCAGCAGCTGCAGTGTGCAAAGCAGTCCAAGCCCCCCTCCCCCCAAAAAAACCAGACATTTCCTTTAAAATGTAAAAATCTACCCAGATGGGCATGTGTCCCCCCCTCCCAGGACATGTCCAGGTTTTCCCGAGGGTTATGGCAACAACTAGCACATGCCATGTTGGTGACAACCTGCTATTATTTATCATTTGCTACATTTGGACCTCACATTTTCTCCCTCCAAAATGCTCAAGGGGGCTCACATGGTTCTTCCTAGCCCCATGTTATCCTCACGACAACCCTGTGAGGTAGGTTAGGTTAAGAGATGGAGCCTGGCCCCCATGGTCACCTGGTGAGCTTCGTGGATCAGTGAGGATTTGAGCCCTGGACTCCCAAGTTGTAGTCCAACACTCTACATTTGTATACCACTCTGTACAAAAATATGCAAGGTATGGAGGCTAAAGGTGGCCTGTGTGCTTTAGCCATTGAAGCTTCCATGATCAGGTGCAATGAACCTTTGAATACTGGATACTAGGAACAAAGAGTGGGACATCTGTTGCCTCTCTGTCCTGCTTATAATCTGTCCAGTATTGGAACATAACATTGGACTACATTTCAAGCCTCATATTCTTCTGACTGTACCTGCCTAGATTTGGCTGTTGGAAACATTATGAGCTGTGAGATGTCAGGTGCTAAACATCACTGTATAACAACTATCCAGTTCAGCAGGGGTAGCTAGTGTGATGACCTTCAGATGTTCTTGGGCTACAATTCCTGTAAGCCCCAGCCAGCATGGCCAATGAGTCATGGGGACTGTAGCCTATAAGATATCTGGGATGCACCATGTTGGCTACAACTGCAATACAGTCAAATGCTAAAACAACTTCTCTTGAATGTTGAGCAATTCTAAATGCTCCTGTATATCAGGTATCAAATGCTGTCAGAGAATGAATATACTGTTGCTTGTCAGTTATCAAATGGTCTCAGATAACCTAAATGTTACTGCATGCTAACCATTAAATGCTGGGAAATATGCAACAAGTAAATACTCTCAGCAGCTAAATACATCTATGAGTTTGGGGTGTTAAGCTGTATGCCAGACCCCACTAATCCCTGGATACAGCAAGTGTTAAAATCCAATCAAGTCTTCTATTCCTGGAATAGTGAGATGTAAGGAGAACAAAGGAAGGGCTGAGAGTTGAAAGTTGCAATGATGTGCGCCAGACGTAAAAGCAGAAATCTGGGAGAAGACAGAGAGACAGAGCAATTTTTTATGTCAGTTTGAATCCAAGGTTGCAACTGCAGTTGTGCCTCATTCCCAAAGGAAACAGCAACCTGGAGTAATCGCCTGGAATCCCTGGAATCCCTGGAATCTTGCACTGCTCAGAGATTGGGGTGGCTCAGAACAATACTGTCAAATGCAGCTATCACAGCATCTCTGTTACTAATAACTGCTGGATGCTGTCTACTGCTGCTTGTTAGTGATTTAATATTGTGAAATATACTGAACATTAAAGGTAAAGGTAAAGGGACCCCTGACCATTAGGTCCAGTCGTGGCTGACTCTGGGGTTGCAGTGCTCATCTCGCTTTATTGGCCGAGGGAGCCAGTGTACAGCTTCCGGGTCATGTGGCCAGCATGACTAAGCCACTTCTGGCGAACCAGAGCAGCTCACGGATACGGCGTTTACCTTCCCGCTGGAGTGGTACCTGTTTATCTACTTGCACTTTGACGTGCTTTCCAACTGCTAGGTTGGCAGGAGCAGGGACCGAACAACGGGAGCTCAACCCCATCGCGGGGATTCGAACTGCTGACCTCCTGATTGGCAAGTCCTAGGCTCTGTGGTTTAACCCACAGCGCCACCCACGTCCCTATACTGAACATTACATGCCAACAATCAAATACTGTCAAATAGCATATTCAGAACAAATACAATAGGATTGTAAATACAAATGTCAAATAATTGGAGGTTATTCAGCAAATGTTTGAGCATCCATAAGTATATGATCTTAAAATCTGTAGGATGAACATTCTGAGGGGAAATGTTAGCAACAAATCCATTTTAGCTGCGCTTTAATGTGGCTACTAGCTCATGGCCTTCAGTAACAGAAAGCTAAGAGGCTTTTTTGAAAAGAATGGCAGCAAGTAGGTAACTAAACAGCATTTTGCTTATTGCAGTATTCACTGCCTACGTGCTGCATGCATTCTCTGAGAACTTTAGCAAGGGGTAACTCTGAATACAGTTTCTGCACTGAGATTTTTGATCAGGTCCCGTATTTAGAAGCCTGCAACAGCCAATGCAAAATGAAGCATATCAGCACAATCGTCTGCTTATCTTCAAGGGGAAAAAAATCTTATTGAAAGCTGTAGTACTCAGCTGAAAGCCAGATACAACAGCTATTGAGGAAATCATTTTATCCTAACATCAGTGGCCGAATTCTTACTTCCATGCAGGAAACCTTGTACATAACAAGAACTGGTCCAGGACCTGCTTTTTTGTATCCTTTATATTTTCTGAAGCAACCAAGAGAAATTGGTTTATTTCTCACTTCTTTACTGCTCGGCCAAACTGTGTGTTGTGTTATTTGTACTTTCTAAAAAGCATGCTTAGGAACAAAGGAAGTCACCTAACCTGGCCTGCTGCTTCAGGTGCGGTGGAGGACTCTATTGGATCACCGCTGTTGACATATAATTTGACCACAAACTCAGTCGTCTTCTGTACATAAAATGAGGAAAGGGCACCATATTGTCCTTCACCCAGGCCTCAATATGTCTTGGGAAATACTTGGTGTGAGCAATTGGAGCAGGACCTCTGAACTGGAGTGGAGGAAGCTGCTGTCTACTGAGTTAGACCAGTGGTCCATTGAGCTCAGTATCATCTACATTGACTTGCAGTTACACTCCAGGGTTTCAGGTTTCAGAGGACATTCTCAGCACTACCTGCAGATGCCTGGAAATTAAACCCATGCTCTTATGCATGCAAAGCAGATGTTCTACCACTGAGCTATCACATTTCCCGAACTGATATATCACTACTAGGAGCTTGGGATACTGTCTTATAATAAGTCAGAACATTGGCTCACTTAAGAACATAAGAAGAGCCTGCTGGATCAGGCCAATGGCTCACTATTCCAGCATCCCATTCCCACAGTAGTCTGTTCCCTCAGACCACATGGCTCTCACCAGCTTCAGTTGCTATACCAAAAATTTAGGAACTTTCACCACTTTGTAACTAAACCAAGTATTATTGTCTGTGGAACTTTATGAAGCACATGAATCTGACCTTTGGAGAGTTGGTAAGTAAATCATTTTTAAACTTACCAAACACATGATCTTTTCCTATGCTAAAGGAAGAGAGAAACTTTGGAAAGAAACTTTTTAAGGAGATATTTTGGATCTCGCTTAGAAGGGCATATTTTAAAGGTCTACCAGCCTATTTCCACACTTTGCTGCATATTTTGTAACTTTAAATCTCTCCTGGAGTCCTCTCACCCAGAGGTGTGGCATGGGGTGGGGTGCCATGGAGGCCGTGGCCCTGGGTGCGAAATCCAGAGGGGACACAAACAGACACCCTCACAGCAGGCTCCTTCATTGGAGCCGGGCTCCACACCAGAAGGAACTACACCTTGGCTGTGGTGCTTGTGCCTGATGCAGCTCTGCCCTCCAGGTCAGGCCTAACCTGGGTCAGGAGAGCAGATGAGTGGGTGGCAGCGCTGCTCCCCACCCTTCTTGGCTGCCGCACACCTCATGCCCAGTGGCAGCAGCTCTGCTGCTGTGTCTCGCCTGATCCAGTGGCAGAGAGCAGCCCTCCTCTGTTGCGGTGAGGCATGCCTGGCTGCAGTGGCTCTGGGTCAGGTCTGACCCAGTGGTGGAGAGCAAGAGAGTCAGCGGCAATGCTGCTGCCCACACTCCTTGGCTGCAAGGTGCCTCACACCTGGCTGCAGTTGCTTCACTGCCGGGTCATGTCTGATCCGGCGGCAGGGAGCATCCCACCTCAGCAGGGCACACCCAGCAGCAGCAGCTCCACTTTTGCTGCCGGATCATGCCTGACCTGGTGGTAGAGAGCAGGGGGAGAGTAGGCAGCAGCTTCCCCACCCCTCTCCTACCTTGAACTGTGCCATGTGGGAGGGCGCCCTCCACACCCCTCCCCCCTCAGGGACGCACCCCTCGCGTCTGCCCAGGGTATCGCAGGCATATACTCTGCCACTGCCAAAGAGTACTTGCCCAAAATTTGGATCTTAGCATATAGATGCCAGAGAGAGAGAGAGAGAGAGAACACTTTATACTAGTAGATGCATTTTTCTACACATTGCTCAGCTAGAGAAGTGCATTGCAAAATTCAGATTAAATGAATATTTCAAAGGATGGCTGGGTTTCATGTATTGTTTCAGAAAGTGTGAAACAGGTAAGCAAACTGAGCTGAAATTCTGCACCATCCCTTGCAGGCCTCTGGATTTAGATGCCCCTGAAAAATGTCAAGAGTAAAAGATTTATTTTGGCACTTATAAAAATGAGAAGAAAAATGACAGAAAGACAGACAGGGAGGGAAGGAGGAAGAAAAGCAAGGTGAAATTTACTTAGAGAGTTTTCTTTTCTTTTGCAGCTTCAGATTACAGCACTATCCCCATTGTGACTATGGTTATACCGAAGAGCCAGTCGCTCAGCAAGTGACTTATTGATCCTTGTCTGCAGGCTGAACCCTGACAGCAGCTGTTGCTGTTCATCATGCTCGACTGTCTTCATGTGTTGTTTCCATGACTTCTGAATTTATCGCACCTGTCTCAGGCTCCAGCGGGGACATCAGATTCCTGTGAGCTGGATCACTTAATGGCTTTCCAAAAATGTCATTTGTTTAAAGTTTCACTCTTTAACCTTTCTCTCTCATGAGCACAAAAAGAAGGGAAAAGAAGGGGAAGGCCAAAAAACCTGTCTGCACAGTGTATTTCTAGCCTACAAATAATCTTTCCCCCTCCCATTGCCATTAATCTTTCTTTCTCCTGCCCTCCCAGGCATCAAAGGCTCATGGGCTGCAATCTTAGTGAATAAGCAGTACAGCACTGTGTACATTCCCATGCAAGATGCAATGAAGTGATTTCAGTTTAATGTGCTGAAACAAACAGAAACATCATCGCAACACAGAGCAAAAGTCTGAGCAGATGAAAAAGAAACTAAATTTAGCCTGTTGTACAATAACTAGCATTAGCAGCAGGAACACTGTAAATTAATTTTTGCATGTCACAGCCCGAAGAGTGCTACAGATGCTACAAGCAAAATGTGTATACATAATTGTGAGCAAAGTTGCTTAAATAACACAGACATAGAAAAGTCCTGACTTTACTGACAAAACTCAACAGTGTATAATCTGAGAAGAAACAGCGGGGATCTTGCCTTTCTCAGGGCAGGCCTTGTACATAGAAGGGAAACATAATACCAAACATACAGAGGAAAACTTAATCAGAACTACAAAGCCAATAAGAAAATGTGACACCTCAGTGAAAATCATGCCGTTCAGCCTGGTGTCCACCTACTCCCCTCCTGACTAGTTGACTTTAACAGAATTAGCACTTAAGCTACAAACTGGAAGATCCCTGCTGTTGCACATCCATCAGTACTCACCTAGCTAAAGTTACAAAACTCCAAAGATATCCAGCCCCTCTGGCTTCATTTCCCCCCTAGAAGCACAGTTATGGCATTTCCCAGAACTACTAGAAAACAGAGATTAAAAAAAACACAGTGCCAGCATGTGGTCAGTGGATCACTGACTTAGTTAGCGGTGGCCCACCAGGGGGCCTTTGGGTGACCACTTCTTTATCATTGAAAAAGAGGACAAAATAAGGTGCTGATTTCCATAAACTGTGCATAAGCTGTTTTATGTGTATAGATGCAGATTTTGGAATACTTACTATAATTTAAACGTATCTTACCATAGTAGACAAAGCCCTTCTGTATTTCCTTTCTAACATATCTTTTTTCTTTAAGCCAGCTTTGGACCAGAAAACCCTCTAAATGACTGTCCTCTGTTAAGAATGACATGTGGACACTCTAGTTGAACCAGGTAAATGTGCATAGAATTCAGCAGTAGATAAGTTAACAGTCCATGCTGAAGCAGGTGCAGAAAGATTCAATGGGGCAACTTCAAGGCAACTCCATCTCTCCCTTCTTAGTTTTCTTTATCTTTAAACTGGACTTGACCTGGACAGCCCTTGAAGCAAATGTATACCACCCCCTCCTTTTTTTGAAAAAAAACCTCCTACCAACACAGTAAACAGATTGGATAAATCACACTGTAGACACTTCAATGAAAAGAAAAAAAGAGGAAGCGAAAACGACGAAGTCCCTTTATGGTGGAAAGGAAAAGAAACTTCATGCAGTCCAAACCCTGTTGCCCATCGCTGACATGTATTTTTACACATTTGATGTAATTAGCGTATGGAATAAAGTTCCACCATACGGAACTGAATGTTTGTGGTTTCACTTTCAATTGAAAAAACTTGGACCATTTGTCTCTTTAAAGCCTAGTACAGCAATATTTGGACTATTGCAGTACTGGAGAAAATTGCCCATAATATACACCCGATACAGCACTCCATGTTCCTATAAGCTGTGTGTAGCTCGGAATATGACTCAGAATTCCCTGAAAAATGCAAGCCTTCATTGGGAAAATAGAGCCTGGCCCTCTGCTTTCCGTCAGCCAGTTGTGTGTTGCATGCTGCAACGCATCCATTGATTTATTGAGTATGGAAGTCTTCCAAATCTCACTAGGCAAGGTGAGACAACTGCTTCAGGCAGCAGGATCCACAGGGGCAGCAGATCTAGCCTCCAATGAATGCACCTCCCACTACTGCTGCAGCAACAACAGCTGCAGCATATTCCTTTGAAGTCCAACCTACTGCCTCCTCAGCAGCTCCCTGCCATTCCGCCTCTACAATGACCTCTTGGTGAATAAGAGGTATTGCTGGTCTCCTTTCACTGTTGTTCCCAGTGTAGATATTTATTCCCCCTTGTTCTTGATGCAGAAACTCACTCACCCCTTCTTCCCTGCTGGGGATGAGCGCCATCTTGTGGTTTGCCTCAGATGCCAAAATGTATTGGACTGGCCCTGCAAACTTCCAATATGAGCATCCAGGCGTTTCATTCCCTCCAGCAATCTGGCATGCGGGTTATGGTGCATATATGCAATCTGTTCCCCAGGGTCAGACATGGCCATCAAGCTCATTTTATGTGGCCGCCTGGTACCTTCTGAAATTGTTTCATTCTTCCACCCCATCATAGTCCTTTCTAACCTGTTTCTTTCCTTCTTTAAATTTCCTGACTTCTAAAATGTGTTTCTACCAATTTCAGAACACGGAGTCTAGGTGGGCAAAAAAGAAAACCAATTAGACGATTCAATCAGCAACGCTAATGATGTACAATAACATGAAGAAGCTTCTTTAAAGCAAATTATTTCTAAGTAAGGTTGTCTTCCTGCAACTCAGATTAATACTGTTGCATGCTCAGTGGTGTTGCAGGGGGGGCGGGGGGTGGTGTACCCTGGGTGCCATGTCAGGGGGGTGACAAGAAGGCACCCCGCGGGCAAGGCGGCACAAGCAGCCATCGCACCGCCACAGCCACATGGAGCCACGAGCAGACGATCCCGCCAGATCTATACGGCGTTCAAGCGGCAGCAAACCACTACGTACAACACATGTGCAGTGTCACACGCATGCGCTGTACGTAGTGATGCCATACTACGCCGGCGCCGCCCAAATGCCATATGGATGGCGGTGGGATCCCTCCGTCACCACTACAATCACAAGTGGAGGATCCCTCCACTGCTGCTGCAGCTGCGACAGAGAATCCCGCCACTGTCTGTACAGTGCTCGGGTAGTGCTGGCGGCAAACCGCTACGTACAATGCATGTGTGGTGTCACACGCATGTGTTGTATATAGCACATGCGCCCTACGTAGTGGTGCAACGCGTGCGCAGCTGGCGGTTTGCCTTCATTCGCCCCTGTGCATGCTACCTTAATCTCTGAGC